AATGGTGTTGTGTAGCCTTTGCTATTCTCTAGCCTTTGCTATTCTCTAACGTTATTCAACCACAAACACGGCAGAGGCAGCGGGTGATGTCTCGTGGCCTGAGCCTTATTTCATTTACCTGTGGCTGTCATTGTTGTTCATGTGGGAGCACCCAGACTTCAAACAGCCTTTTGCCTGATGAATCCAGGAGCTCAGTAACAGGGTCTGACTTTCACCCTTTCTCTATTCAGACTTTGCTCATCTGAAATACCTTAATCCCAACCTTCCAGGTATGGATACAGCCTTATCAAAACAGATATTCTCATGTAGATGAGATGATGAGAAGAGATAAAATACTTTGATTTAATCTTACTGACTTGTAATAAATGAAGAAACAAATACAGAAATTGAATACATCATATCTTCCTGACGTTACAATTTACTTACCAAACCTTTAGGGACCAAGAACACTCCTAAGACATAACCCAGAAAGTGTTTAAATCAGTGTACACATAGAAGCTGACAAAATGTCCCTTGAGTCCTAGTTAACTGTCACAGACAAAGGAAACTTCTTGCACCAAAGTCCTAAGGCACCTTGTAAAGACAGTCCCAGCAAAACCCATTTGCTGCAATCCTCTGATACCACCAAAGGGGTATCGGGGACAGCCAAAGGTGAGACAGAGACTCTATTATTAGAAGGCATGAAAGACACTTTATTATTAGAAATCTACAGTTCTTATAGAAACAATGGTGGACTTAAGACTTGATTGGCTTTTAGGAATCTTCTCTCACTATTGGTGAACTATGAATAACACACTCTGGAGAACCATATCTATAACCAATGGTTGCAGAAAGAGAGATGATAATTGTTTGAATTCTTTCTTCTAAGTTTCTCACAACTTCTACACAGTTTCCCAGGATTTTCCTGGGAGAACTGTGTCTCTCTCTGTTCAGAGGATATGTAATTACCACACTCTTACAGTGGGGATTTTTAACTATGCACAAAGGCTTGTGCAAACAGCCCTTTTTCTGGGACGCACAGATATGATGGTCACCACAGCGAAGTCTCTCAAATGTCCATAAATCACAAGTGGCCACTGCTGTTTACGCTGTGTTGCACACAACTTAGACATACACAAAAAGAGAATTTCCTTTCAATCAAGGAGGGCTGTGGAATTACTGCATGTTTTAAAAGGCTGTGTGTATGCACAGATCTCTTTTCAAACACTACAAACCTAATTTTGAGACAAAGGAAATAAACCTGATGGGGTCACAGTTGACCCAAGCTGTGACCTTCTCAGAAACTGAAGATGGAGAGCTTAGACTGGACTAAGTCACTGATTATCTGGGTTACTGCAGCATTATCTTAGGCTGCAATAGAAAAGGAAAAAAAAATCCACACAGCTGCTTAACTGTACTTCAGTTTGACGGAATGTGAAGACCTCATTTAACTACCTGTACTCACTATTGACAAATTTCAGAAGAGGGCTGACAGGCAGAAAAAAAAAGGGTTTATTTAAATATATCTCCTCAGCATAGTGTCCAACTGCTTTTAGATTGTTCTAAACAAGAGATCCAAGAGTGAGCATTTTTCTCACAACTCACTTGAATTCCAAAAGGTTAATTTGCATTTCTATCATCATAATTGACAACTTAATTTGTTGCAGATGTTTTAAAGAAAATTTAGAAATAGTAACAGAAAAAAGTTTAAAAATCAGCTCCTAAGCAATATAATTTTAAAACTTTCTGAAGAATGCAACAATCATAAAATTCCTTGTCTTTTAATAGTCTCCTTTTCCAATTGTCTTCAAGAAACTAATATAGCTCTGTCAAAGAAAAAGCAAGAAAATTTCTGGGGAACCAAAATAAATACTGAAACTATGATGAAAGCTATATTTTGAGTTAAATTTTCAAAAGACACCCCTCTCTGAAGCTGCTGTATCTGCTGCCATGGTTCTAATATTGCTCTGTTGCTAGCATGGCAGAAAATGTTCAGGATGAGGAATTACAACCAGTTTATCCTATTCTAAGAATTCATTAAAATTCCCAAAAGAGAACACACATAGAAAAAATTCTTATCCACTTCTAGTGGTCTCAGAAGGATTGGTCAGAGAACAAATGCTTAAAATCATTCTTCTCTTGTAATCCAAACCCAAATGACAAAGACAATGAAATACTGTGGTTCATCCAACACAGACAGATAACCCACTTTACTCAGATTTTACCCAGCTCCTTGCACACCACTCTTGCTGCAGTATCAGCTCAGAGCAGTCTGGAACTTCCATGAAGTTGCATGTGGATTGCTGCAGTTGCTTTAGTTATAGCAATCATTCCTTTAATTAACAATTGCTGAGCAGAGGTGTTATGTGAATTCTTGAATTATGGTTAAATAACTGTGAAAGGTCCATATTCAAGCTCAATGAATTCAGATCAAAATTTTTTGTTTAGAATGAACAGTCTAACTTAATGAAAAGCCCTGAGATAAGTTTAAATCAAAATTAAAATATTTTAAAATGTGACAATTAAGGAATAGATGTATGTTCAGTTTTGTAACCTTAAAAGTCTGCCCCAAAAACCATGACAGATATGATCTACATTTTAGACCAAATCCAGAGGAACAAACCATGAGTAAATTGTGTTCACACATCTATGTCTCTCATAGTAAATTTTTATCACAATGTTGTACTAACTATTGAGATCTCAAGAAGAATTCCATGAGCTCAAAATTACCCCTGAGGTCTGGAAGTGCTTGTTTGGTCTTGTAGTTAGGCCTATAAAGCAAGGCTGTGCTAAATAGCAGACTAAAGGCAGGTGGGGGTTTCCCTCTGACACCTCAAAGCCCTAGCAGGACATTGAAATGTGGCCCTGTGATAACTAGGCATTGCTAGCTACTTGTCTCCCACTGACCTATGTTCCTGACATTATACCAGCCCAAAAATCAATGATTTTTCATATTGGGTATACTGGAATGTAGCCATACAATCTTTCAGGGATATCATTCCCAAGGTTCTTATGTCTTTAAATATTTTAAAAACCTTTTTCTGGACAAAAACCAAAGTTGAATAAGCTTAACAGCTTCAGAAGTTCAATTTTTGCTCTGAGAAAAACCCCAAACCCAACCCAAAAGCAAAACCATTTAGCTAAAATGGCTGATTTGCCAAATTTGGAGCCTGTGCTTTGCAGCTCTGTTGAAAAACCAAGATTATTTTTTTAGATAAATTTAGCTTTTATACAAGAAATTCTCATGTTATTTTAATACCTATTCATTTCTGTTTCCCAGTGGTACAGAAACACATGGAAATGAAAAATATAATGGGCAGTCGGGGAAATTTATTCCTATTCAGAAAATGTATTGGGGAAGCTTCCAGTCAAATTATGCAGAGGGATGCATGTAGGATGTATAGTGGGAATTCCTTTAGCCTCAACAATTTCTCTTTATCTGTTTATCTGTGATTCAGCTACTTCTCTGATAATTGACCTGCAATCTCTTTCTGCCTGTGTTAATCATACCTATTACAGATTTGAAGCACCCCTTCAAAATGTAAAGGAATCACAATTTATCATTCAGGACAAAGACAACGAAATGAATGTCTTAGCTTTACTTCTTTAATTTAAATACATTGAAATATCTTCTTATCATGCCTATTTATCAGTACAGAATACTGGAAAAAAGCAGCTCTTATCTTTCTTTAAAACAAATTTTCCCCTATATTCCAATATGTTTTACAACTTGGAACTACATTATTTGTATAGCCTTCCTGAAGCTATTTCAGGAAACTGTGTGAGTCTCTTCTATATGATAAAAAACCAAACTAAACACATACACACTCCCAAGCCTCCCCAAAAAGTTAAGATAAGGAAGCATTTAGCAGGAGCTTCCAGATTAAATTCAAACTTTCATACTGTGAGGAGCAGCAATCAGGAACACAAGCCAACTAAGGAACATTCTTCCTTTTTTTTTTGTTAATGAAACTGAAGTTGTCTTCTTCTAACACTCCAAATCACTTTGTTGTCATTATGCAGTAATCACTTTTAAAAAATAAGTTTTTAAAGCATACAATAGTAGTAATATTATTTGAAAGGAAAAAGTTTTATTTATAAAGACAGAAGAAGAGAAAACCTATGAGGAAAATGTGGTCTACACATATGCCTATAAAGCTTAGCCACATAAAAAAAGAGAAAGTGATACTCAACACCCATGGATCCATTGAGTCCATGGATCACTTGGCTTCTGTTACCCTGGCTGAAATCTTGTCCTTGTCTCAAACTTAGTGTCACCTGTTTGAAGATCACATGAATGTGGCTATAGGAATATATGGAATAAGTACACTGAAGGAGCCTGATATAAATGAAATAAGCTGGGAAATGTGCATCGTGGGCTGCTGTCTTCCATGCCTCATGCATCCTGACTATGAAATTGTCCTTATAAATGCCTTGTCATTGGAGTCAAAACTTTGCTCGTGCAACTTGAAATTTCCTGTAGTCTATGGGGTTGCTTAATGCCTGGACATTTTCTTTATGTGACAATACATACTTGAATATAAATTTTTCACTTTTTGAAAGTTATTATTATTTTGGTTGTGTATAGTAGCTGTTGAGAAGAAATCGCTTGGCTCATTCAGACATCTGAGAATTTTACTGATGGCATTGAAAATTTTGCATAGTTTATCTTGTGATGAATATGAATTTTTTTCATAACGGCTTCAGCAATAACAGGTAAAAGATTCAGTATAACAAAAAGCAGAAAAAACAGTGTCATACTGAGTGCAAATAACAGTCTCACAATGCAGATTAGTATCCTGAATTTCATCTATGCAGCTTTGTAACATATTGATGTAAAATCAATAACACCAATATAAACATGGTCTCAATATGTACCCTACTGTCCTTACTCAAATCTATTCTTATAGGCTTGATGATAGACATACTAAATTATCACTTAGAAATGAACATTATATATTATATGCGTTTATGCTTATTTTCATTCTTTATGACTAACAGAACAGGACAGAAGGACTTACCATTCTTCTTATAGAACATGATTTCTCCTTTAAATTCTATCTTTTCCTCCAACGATTTCTCAATTTGAAGAATCATCTGCTCATTTGTTTCAGCACCAAGTAAGAATTTACAGCTGCAGCTCTTCTGCATGACTTCAGTCCGTGCAAATCCAGCAAGCTCGCAGAAGCCATCAGAGCAGTAAACAATGGGGAATCCCTTAGCCACCTGAGCATTTGCAAGGATAAAGTTACTATCTGCAGAAGAACACAAAAGTAAAATATGAGTTAAAGTCTAAATTCTGCACTGCTTGACACAGTACTTTCTATAACATCATTAGAAGGCACAACTGGACAGATATTGTAAAGCAAAGTTCCAGCTTGCCTGCAAACCAGGATCTAACTTCTGGTTTCAGACTGGTATTCTGACATTAAGTAAAATCTAGTCCACAGATCATATACAATAGTTTTCCATGGCTTTGTACAGTTTGCCTCATTGTCTCCTCAAGGAATACCTTATGATAATTGCCTCTGAGATAGATGCCAACACACTGAAACAACCACTTGACCAAAGACTGGTGACAAATACCAAAATTTTGGAGAAATTTCAAATGTTATGCTGCCATTCAGAATACTCTGCAGTCTGCACAGACACAGCTACATCATAAAACTCAAAAATATCCATGGTCTCAATAAGATAATGTTGACCTATGTCAGCAAACTAATTCATTCTATATAATTTTTCAAGGGAACCTTTAAAACCACAGTTGAGTGACACACCAGGCTATGTGGAATTAGGGACATTCTAAACTACAAAGAATTATTTGTCCTTTATGGTACATGAGGTTGATTTTGTTTCTTCTTTTTTTGTTTGATTTGTTTGTTTGTTTTGGGTTTTTTTGTTCATTTGTTTTTTGTTTTCCTTGTTTTTGAGGAAAAAAACATTTCATTCAAAATCAATCACCTGTCTTTTGGAGCCCCACCATACTTCTCCCATATAAAACAGGCATATCAAAGATTCACCATTCAGTTATACTTAATGCTCTTTATATTTTTTCAGTGTGTTTAAGCTGTGGCAATCATGTATGACACATTCAAGTGTAACATATTTACATGGACATCAATCAACCAAATGTCATGTCCTAAATCCTTATTTGATTTCAAACCTTTGGCAGATCTAAGAGTTGAACCTATTGGCAACCTTATAGCTCATTCCCATCCCTCTCTGAAATGTTTTTGAAGACTTTGAATCACAGAACATCTTCAGCTCATGTCAACAACACTGACCCTTTACAGTATTATTCAGCAATCATTGACACCCTTTCCAGATAACATATGAACTTCTCATACAGGTGTTTTGCCTGTGTGTCCTTATCTTGAAGTGAAAAAAAAAAAGAAAAAGGTTTTATGGGCAGAATCTGTCTACATTTCACATGGAGGGAGGAAAGACTATTTTTTGCTCATTGCTTGTTAAGGAATGTTTACCTTACAGCTTGCTAGCAGGAGCTGAGGAGCAGTCTAGTCCCAAGACAGACACCTCTCATTTTTCTGACTTATGTGCAAGTGAATTCATGTGTATGTATTAAGAAGAAATACTATTAACTAACCCATAATCCCTTGATAAATATTCATAAATTTAAAGAGAAAGACATGAATTATTTTAATGGAAAACTCAGGCTGATATACCTAATCCCCATACAGGGATATATTATTTATGATTGGGAGAGACAGAATGCAAACATGAAAATAGAGGAAAAATAAGTCTGGTTTCAATCTGAACTGTCGCAAGAGTTCCACATCTGTGAAATCCCAAAAACCAGCTGAGTTACTCTTTAATTACCCAAGGGATAAAATACTATGTCTTCTACTGCTTTCAGTATTTTAAAGACAATGGAGGCTTATTAAATGATCAATTTACTCTCAAGACTTTCCTTCAGCTACCCACATTTTGTACAAATTTAATTAAATTCTTTCAATAAATGATTGTTATGTTAAAACAATCTTTTCCCATTTACCAAATGATGTGTTTTTAAAATGCATTCTGGTTCAGTGCTTGACTTAGCCTGTCATTTTTATTTGCCTAACTGGGGAATAGGTATCATTACCATTCATGCACTAACATGCTGCTGCCCCTGTCAACACAAAACTAAATCCCCACACTGCCAGAAGAATTAAAATCATATGCTTGCAGTGCATAATGAAAGTGTGACAGTACAAGACCAGCAGATCATTCATATCAAATATATTTGTAGCTAGCAAATTAATTTACTTCTCTGATTCTTGTTGTTTAAGATACAATTATGTGGTGCAAAGACTGCTGTGGGGTTTTGTTTTTCTTTTTAATTCTAATTGTTGAGAGTTGTATGAAGCAGAATCTGGAGCACCAAAAGGACACAAAAGGTAGAGAGGATGTGCAATAGTGAATGAATGCCATTATGGACAGGAATACACTGGAACTTATCAAGCATACCATAGTTTTATGAAAAATGTAAGGTGGCAAAATTCAATTGTCAGTTACACCAAAATAAACCCAGAATAATTGTGGTTGCTTTAAAATTCATGAAATAAACCAGTTTACTTATAAATGCCAATCCAGTACTAGCTAGAATACCAGCCAATCTTTGTGTTAATATCAGCAGGTGTCTGATAAGGCTTGCAAGCCTAATTTTACTGAACTTTTTGGAGTACAACAGCAAAGCATCAGGGAAATGCAATCAGAATTATATTTGCTGCTCTTCTTGAGCTTGAATTTAAAAAAAATAATGAGAGATGCACTTATAATCCCAAACTAAGCGACGTATCTAATTAATTTGTTGAAAAATTTCTTGTCATACTAAAATGGACCAAGGAACATTATGCCCAGTAATTACATGTATCATCCAATTCTTCAGTAACATTAATAAAGTGATTAATATTTACCTCTTAGAAAAAGTAAATTAAAAAAAAAAAAGCCAACAATACCATACCTTAAGATATTCTGGTTAAAAGTTTGTTTAATTCTGTAATTTATTTTTATAGCTTCAGCTATTTAATATCTATTGCTATTACTTGTGTATGTGAAACATGATAAAATTTTTCAAAAAACAAGTATTGAGGGTGAAATTTCTATCATTCAGTCTTTATTGTGACACAAATAACAAATCTAACATTTAATTTCATGATCTTCAATGATAACTAGCTGGATTTTAAAATCAAGAGTATAATAAATGACATTTTCTTTAGAATAATGTATTAGAAACTTATGGACAGGAAGACAATATTTGCTTATTTTTGAACTTGCAATAGAAAAGTTGCAATGAGTCATGCAAACATTTTTATATATTTCGTATATGTTTGTGTGCAGATTGCAACACTTCCATAATAATATAGAAGTTGTTAAATTCTGTATTATGCTTTCAGCACTTTAGCTGGCATATTAAATTATTTTATTGATCAGGAGACAGCATTAGATTACTGGTTGGATGTATTTTTTAATTTTATTTTTAGATAAGAAAATACATCCAAGCAAAATACTTAATCCATTGAGAAAGATGTAACCCCGAGCCTTTGAAACAACAGAGTAGAGCTGCTGAAAATCTGTCTAAGAAAGAAGAGATCTGGAGTATTGAGGAGTAAATCTGGTGCAGGTAGCTCAGTTTGCCAACTGCACATTGAGATGCAGATTGAGCTCTGGGTGGGAGCATGAGATAAGAGACCATGATCTGCCAAGCCTTTGGTCAGCAAAGGGAGCAAAGATGGACTCTAGGAGACACAGCAGGAGCAGAGGACTCAGGACAAAGAGAGATTTGTGTGAGGAGAGATTGTGAGGCTATACAATCCTTGGGTTTCTTTCACTGAGGGCGACACAGCTGAGGCTGTTTTTGTGTTGCTGCATCATGAACAAATGGCTTTATGGAGAGAGTCATCTGAGCTCTGCTCTGGGACAGCTGGGGTGGATCTGGGAGGGAAACCTGGTCTGACTGTGGGAGTGTGGGGTCGGAGGGGAGTTAAGCGGGCACCTGTCGGTTCACTGGAGCCACCCACAGGGAAGGGACCTTGGTGCCTGCAGTGAAATCTCTGAGCTGGGAGTGAGACTGCCAGAGAGTCCAGGGAATGGGCAGACTGGATGCTTTTTTTAACGACATGACCCTAGGTTTCAGCTCAGAAATTAAGTGATGTAAGCCTCTGCAAAATAAAATTTTAAAATTCAAATTGGATATCTGTATATTAGCTTCGGATAAAAATTCTTGGTTGTTTGTCCAAACCTGTGAGAGCTGTGCAAAGGATGATTTAAAAGTGCTTCTGCTAAGACGGAAAAATAAACCTAAGCACAAAATATCCAACATTCACAAGGTTTTCCTTTAGCAGCAAATCAGCAGAGGTGCAGGAATATGAAAGAGGACCCTGGCTTGCCAGCACAATTTAAAAGCAGGTTTCTTTCAATCATGATTCTTTTACTTTAAACTCATTTTCCATGAAGATCAAGATACTTTTTCACATGAAGGTTTGAAGGAAGACTATTAGAAGCTTGCATGCCTGTCTTCATTTCAGAAGTAGAACACACTGGAGAGGTGTTAGGACAGGATAGGACACTGATCAATGGAAGACTCATGTGGTTTTCAGAAATCTCTGCCAGAAACACAGCACAAAGCCACAGACAATCAAATAAGACAAACCAGAACCATGACAACTGTACCTTCAATCGCAGACTTAGACAATGTTGCCCTGTTTCAATGATGAGATACCCAAAAATCATAACTGGAGCAACAGAAATTCAGATCTCATGCCATCCGATACAGAGAATCTTATTCAGCAAACATCCCATGATAGAGTTTTAGAATTGAGATAATTAAAGAAAAAGGCTTTATGCAATACTCTTTCTTGTAATTAATGCCCACAATTTATCTGACTATTTGTAATGACATTGTGTTACATTTATACTCTGCACTCCCTTCATGAATCCTACTGTCACATCCAGCAAAAAATGACAGAAGGATTTTTGCTTTAATACTGTGGCTATGTCTGCTGTAAATCTCATCATTGTGCTTCCCCAGTTCTTTTCACAGTTCTTTTCAATCAAAGTCGAGAAGTTTTCGTGAAGAGAACACCTGACTTATTTTGCAACTGAGAGAAGCCAACAACCATTCTAATTTTAAATGTTAAATTATTTAAGAATTAAAGAGGAAGAAAAAATCCCTCAAAAGAAAAAAATCTTTAACACTCGAAGAAGCTGCATTCAATAAGAAAGTGACTCACATAGTTACTCTACATATGGTAGA